ATAAGTGATAATATTTAACAATTTAAATTTAAAAAATATAATAAAAAGAAAACCTTGTTTAACTCTCCAAATAGTACTCCAATAGGTTCTTTTTCTTTTAAACGAAAGGAGTAATATTTTTTGTCTTTACTAAAATTTGAACATGATTCTCAATTGACATCACCACACCTTCGTATTTAACATGCTAAAAAACATTTACACGATAATTTATAATTTAAAGTAATCATATACAAATACGTATAAGATAGAAACTACATTGAAAAGGCTAGGGGTGGGGGTGGGGGAGGGGGTGGGGGTGGGGTGGGGGTAATAGGGGAGAAGAACCCGGGAGTTGGGGTAAAAGACTGATGGTAATGGTGGGAATATAGGTGTGGGGCAATTACCGCAGCGCCAAAAGCGCAGGCCATTCGATACACTTAACTTTCTCTGCTCACTGCAGACTCTGTACCATTTATTCAACTCTCTTTCACGAGCGTGGCAACACGTTTTTAAGATTTATTTCGGAGGTTTTTAGAGCCTGGCCATTAAAAAAATTCTTTGTTCCAAATGTTTAACACTTCTTTTCGGAATTAGTATTTGGCCATAAAAATTCTAAATTTTACTTGAAGTTAAACTTGAGAAATTTTTCAAAATTTTAAAAAAGTCCAAAAAGTTATTTTTCAAAATTTTCAAATCAAAACACTCACAAAAATTCAAAAATGGCCCCAAATTGTATTTATGTCCAAACACAACTATAATTTTTAAATACTATTTTCAACTTGAAATTAAATTTCACTTTTTTCTTAGATTTAATAATTTTTATGTCCAAACGTTCACTAAGATTTATTATTATTCTCTAACTTTATTTATCAAGTCGGACTGAAATTAAAATTACCTTATGCTTGATTTTTCTCCTCATAATGCTTCGTTTGTAATAATTTCGGAACATTTAATGTCATAGTATGTAAAAACAAACAAATAAAATAAAACTATGATTGTATAACTTGTAAATAACAAGATTTTAAAAGAAAATTTTCGATAAAATTATTTAAACCAATAGTAAGTAACACAGAATTTAACAAAAAGAATAAAGCAAAGATATAGCACGCGCCGCCTGAGGAGAGTAAGTAAGAGTATACTTTTTAGTTGTTGATAGCAACAGTATAACAGCAGACATATAGTGATGAGACATGAGAAACGTTTAAAGTTAAAGAGATATAGATAGCATCCCCCACCATACTTGCTGCCATTCACTCCTCACCCTCCTCCTGTTCCCCTACTCCCCTCAACCGCCGGTGACCCAAATTTCTTGCCGGTGTGTCTCTTGAGTTACTCGCATTATTTGCTTAAATCAAATCAATAAATAGTGTATAATATATATTTGGAGTGTTATCACTTAATTATACAATAACAACAAGTATGTTTTAGTCCCAAATTTTATTTGGGTCCACGATATGAATACTCATTTCCTTCTCTAGTCTCAGTTCTTATCATCATGCCAGAATAAATAAGAATAGTAATACAAATTAGTTAAATAAATAAAAATATTGATAACATTAAAAGTTCTCTAATAAATAAAAAGTCTATTCTTAACTGGTAAGTATAATATATATGGGTTTTTTCTATTGTACTTTATTTTTAGTTAAGTCTGCATTAATTTCAAGGATTTATGGGTCTACCTCTTCTATTAACACCTTCACTCACTATAGTTTCACATTTAATGACTGATGCCTTAGTAGGCAACATAAGATATGACAAAATCATCTCAAGCAAAAAAAAAAAAAAAATCTTTTTAAAAATTTATCTTCAATGTGTGCTACTTGCACCTTTTAACTAGTATAATTAGTATTTTTTTCTATTTCATTAAATTACTTAGCTATAATGAATTGATATGGATTGGTAAGTATCTAAAGGAACAATTTTTTGATATTAAAGTAATTATGTATGGTTATTATCCATCGATAATAAATACTGTGATGTGACAGTTAGAATCTCTTTATTTTTAACCATTCAGTTTAAGCCTGAATATAGAAAATCTTTCATAAGGAAGGATTTTTCTCAATTATGAGTCTATGGAGAGAATCTAGATTAATTATTGGTTAGTGAGTTTTGAATATAAAATGGTTAACTCAAAGTTATTATTTCATATGCTAAAGAATTCATTGACAGAATTTGGAAGTATTTTGGACGAAATTTAATACGCACAACTTACAAAAGTACATCTAATTACTACCTAGGGTCTGTTTGAAAAGTCATATGGCAATTAGAATTGGTATAATTACTAGTGTAGTAATTATACGGTATTGTAATTACGACGACCTGTTTGTTTGTCATAATATAATTACGGTTGTTTGGTTGCACAAAGTAATTACACAGTTAAATTAAATTTTAAATATCAAATTAATTATCAAAAATTAAAAGTTAAGATTTAACAAATATATGCCTTTATAAATAATATTAAATTTGAAATTTAAAATAGATATTATTTCTTGAAATATATTAATTACTAATAATATATTTGTAACTAATATTGTAAAAATAATTGATATATATATATATATATATATATATATATATATATATATATATATAAATGTGTGTGTGTGTGAGTGTGTGTGTTTCAAATTAATAATATTTTATTTTAATCAATTATACAAACTAAAATTACATATTTTGTAAGAACATCATGGACTGCATGCTTGATAAAATGATTAATATTTATAAATATAATGCCCTAGTATTACTCGAATATTTTACGAAAAAATAATCTATCAACTTTAACTGACAAATGAATGGCATGCAATCTGAATTAATAAGTGAGTACTACTAAAGCAAATAAAATGAAAACAAAATATAACATAAAACTCAAAATCCAAAAAAAAAAAAAACATAATACTCTTATGTAAAATTACAATATAACATAAAATAACTTTCAACATAATTTAAGTAAATATAATTTTTTTTAAAAGGAAAACATAAATCTATAACCTCATTCAATAATGAGACTCTACTTTAATGACATCATTCATAATATGCTAAGTTTATTAATGATTCATTTTATATTAGGAGTAGTTTCAAAACTAGAATAATAGCACAATTATACTAAATGAAGAAAAAAAATATGAGCAACTACATGGAATCACAAAAAATAGAGGTTGAAAAATGAGAATATTATTTAGATATTAAAAAGTAATATATCATTTTAACATAGTTAAGTTTGCATAGAACCTCGTTCAATAATAAAGTTCAACTTTAATGGCATCAGCCATTATAAGTCAATTTTATGGATGACTTACTCTTTCTAAGATTACAGGGTATAACTTTTTAAAAAATTAGAATAATAACATAACTAAATGTAATAAAAAATAAAAAAAATAATTAAGAAATAAATAAAATATGAGAAATTATATAGAAACGCGTGAAGTAAAGGTTGGAAAATGAGAAATAAGAAAATAAATAATGTAAAAAATAATATTTGAAAAAAAAGAATTTAAAAACTTAAAAACATAAAATAATCTAGACTCTTTTTTTATTTGTGGAATTTACTAATAAAGAAACTTTAACTATCCGATATATATGTCAAGTCAAAAAGTGCACAATATATGTTTATTTATATAAATTTTCATTGTTTAGAACATAATTTTATATTAAAAATTTACTAGCTTAGTACATGACAAGGATTCATCGAAAGAAAAACAAATCCCTGAATCTATGACAAGTACAATTTTAAAGCTAGTTAAATTGAATTCGTTGCATATATTAATTAGTGTACTAAAGTTTTTTAATTGAAGGGTACTTCACTAACCCTCATCAGAAAGACAAAAAGCTTTTTGAGCTCATCAGTGTTAAAAGAGAAAAAAGAAAGAGAAAGAAAACAGCTCATGATTTTTAATGAAGGTATTTTTACTAATAAATAATGTACTGATATAGGTATTTCTTTATGTTTTTTTTTTCAGAAAAAAATGATAAATACTGTTGGGGTATCTTTAAATCCCACTCAACAAAAAAGATAGGTAAGGCAAGAAGCATAATTAAATTCAGTGACCAAAAAGGAATAGTGCTACTAGCTACTAATTGAACACCTATAAATGTTTTTTTTTTCTTTTTTCTTTTTTCTTTTCAACTTCTTTTTTTGGGAGTTAAAAGCTGCATTTGTTTGCATTCAATGAAAAACTCCCCTTTTGTCTCGGTTGATGGAAATGGGGACCTCACCTCACTTCTGCTTAGTTAAAAAAAATTACTTTTCTAACTTTTAACATTACAATAATATTTATGTCTCGATCTCAAACAAGTTAAAAGGCAGCTCGGTGCACAAGGCAATAATGCAAGATTCGGAAGAGGGTCGCACCCCAAGAGGTGTGATGTAAACAGCCTATCGCTGCTTCCATAGCTCAAATCCGTGACTTATAGGTCACATGAATATAACTTACCATTGCTCCAAGGCTCCCCTTCACATAAGTTGAAGACAAGTTTACCGTTGTCAAACCTGTGACTTATATGTCTCAATTTAAAATAAGTTGAAGACCAGAAATTAAACTAATTTTACGATGACGGTTAGTCTATTGCAATTTTTATCTTTTATTCAGATTAAGACAGACAATATGAACAAGTTGATAACAAGAACAACAATAACAATACCAAATCCAGTGTAATTCTATCAGTGGAGCCTGGGAGGGTAAAGTATACGCAAACTTTGTCCTTATCGGAAGAAGATAGAGAAACTGATATCAGGAAAAAATAGAAAGGAAAAAGTTATAGCAAGCAATAAGCTGATATAAATAGAATTATTTTTTCAAATCTAACCATGGAGAAAAGAAATTACAAAAAGAAAAAAGAATCAATACTATGATTATGCTCCACATATATTGGTTTTTAAAAAAAAAGAAGGAAAAAACAAAGAGAAAAAGGCAAAATGCAAAGCAAAAGAGAGAAGGTTGATGAAGATGTGTGGGTTCTGTACTGTCTTTAACCTGTCCCCTCCACTCAACACAGTATTTGTTGGGGCTATCTTTCTCAAAAAAAAAAAAAAAGACAAGAGTCTTGAATCCAAAAGGGCACTAAACACATTGGCTTTTTTCCAACTTTTGCTTCTGTGCTACCTTAGCAATTGTCTATGTCTTCTGCTCCCTCTTCTCAGAACTGCAAATGGGAAGATGAGGAATCATACTTTGAATTTCTTGTTATTATTTGATACCCTTTTAACTTCTTTTCTTCTCCTCAACTTTTCCTCCTCCCTCTTTACTTCCTAAAACATGACTTTCTTCTTCTTTTTTATTCAATCTCTTTTCTCTGTTCTTGCTTTAAAGACAACCCCTTTTTAAATATTAACATTTCTTGAACCATGATTTGACTTCATTTCCCAATTTTCTATTACTATTTCTGAACTTGGTGACAAGTTCTTGATTACTATCCTCCCCACTTTTGATCTGCTTTTTCCCTATTTCTTTTTTTTGTTGAGGGTGTAATGCTAAACTAAGAACAAAGAAAACCAAACCAAAAAAACCAAAAAAAGAACCATTTTTTTTGGTTTAATGGAAATTGATCTGAACCATGCAGTAGTAAGTGAAGTGGAGAAGAATGCATGTTGTAATGGAGAATGTGACAAAAAGGGTGTTGGTGGTAGTTGTGTTAATTGCAATTTGTCCACTACTTCTACTTCTTCTTGTTCCTCAAATGCATCTTCCTCTTCTTCTTCTTCACTTACTCTTTCCTCAATTTATATGGAGCTCTGGCATGCTTGTGCTGGCCCTTTAACAAGCTTACCAATGAAAGGAAATGTAGTGGTTTATTTCCCTCAAGGTCATATGGAGGAAGCTGTTTCTGTTTCTCCTTTTTCACCCATCAAAATGGATTTTCCAACTTTTGGTCTTCAGCCTCAGATCTTCTGTAGAGTGGAAGATGTTCAGTTGCTTGTAAGTACTTGATTTTTTACCCCTTTGGGATTAAAAGGTTTTAGCTTTACTTGTGAACTCCTTGTAAACATGTTTCTTCTTTTTATAATCTTGTGAATTTACAGGCAAATAAGGAAAATGATGAGGTTTATACACAGCTCACTCTTCTCCCTCTTCCAGAGGTAAGACCAATTGCAACTGTAGCTACTTTTATGTCCAATCATGATTTTTTGCTGTTCCATGTGACATCAAGGAGGTCACGGTTTCGAGCCGTGTGTAAGGCTTCGTACAATAAACCCATGTATCCGGCCCTTCCCCGGATCCCGCACCTAGCGGGAGCTTAGTGCACCCGGCTGTCCTTATGCTCAATTTGTGGATAAAGGTGTTAACTTTACTGTGTTTAGCTGCTGTTCTATGTTCAATTTGTGAATAAAGATGTTAATTTTACTGTGTTTAGCTGCTGTTTTGGTTCATTTTTTATTTGGTTTCACTGTAAGGGGCCTTTTTCAGTTCTTTTAACTTGAACTGGTCTGTTTTTTTTTTTTAGTATGACTTTAACAATGAGCTAGAATTGAGTTGTCCATGATTTGTTGGTACTTTGCACAGTCAGTGGCTATAAGCTTAAAGGGAAAAGAACATGAAGATTTGGGGGTGGATGAGGAAGGAAATGGAGTTAATCCAGGAAAATCAGCTTCTCACATGTTCTGTAAAACCCTGACTGCTTCTGATACCAGTACCCATGGCGGCTTTTCAGTTCCTCGTAGAGCAGCTGAAGACTGTTTCCCACCTCTGGTGCGACTCCATTGTGCGATTTTTGCTAAAAGAGATTGTTAGCTGATTACATGTAATTGTCTGGTAAATTTACTTCTAACTTGTTGCTACATTATAAAATGTAGGATTACAAAGAGCAAAGGCCATCTCAGGAGCTGATTGCTAAGGATCTGCACGGAGTAGAGTGGAAATTCCGTCACATTTATAGAGGTATTAAGTTAAATACTTAGATACTTGCTCAGTCTGAGATTCTTATGATGTGATGCTTTTCTTTCAGGTCAGCCGAGGCGACATTTGCTAACTACTGGATGGAGTATTTTTGTCAGCCAAAAGAATCTTGTCTCAGGGGATGCAGTTCTCTTCTTGAGGTATACATATCTTGACACAATGGTAAACTCAGAGTGGTTAACTTTTAAGGCGCTAGAACATATGAAAAATATGAAGTCGTCGTGCTAGAAAGCTGTCAGGATCATTAGGTCCAATTCCTAGGTTTTTACTATGCAATAACCAGTTAGGATATCATTGCCAAGATTTTAATTGTTCCGATATTCAACTTTTGAAGCTTGTTCAGTTGCCATAGTTATTTAAATTTTATTGAATTAGTCCCAACGATCTTTGTAGGGGAGAAGGTGGAGATCTCAGGCTGGGAATAAGAAGAGCTGCTAGACCTAGAAATGGGCTTCCTGAATCAATAATCAAAAGTCAATATTCTGGTTCTGATGTTCTTTCAGCAGTTGCTACCGCTGCGTCAGCCAAGAGCACATTCCATGTTTTCTATAGCCCAAGGTAATTCGCTAAATCTCTGTGTATGGTTTTTTGTTTAGTTGCCTAATTTACATAGTAAAATCTGTGGTAATCTAAGTTGCGCGGACTCTTCGATTTTGGTGCCGTCCCCGTCCCGATACGAGACGGGACGGGAGCGGGAACGTCCCGGATTCGGTCAACTGACTTCGGACACTTTGACTGGAGTCCATCGACAAATTTGGGAGAAAAATTGAGATTTTGATTTCTCAAAATCAAAAATAAAACAGATCTAGGAGAATGAAAGAATAATGTCCATCTTGGAGAATGAAATTCAATATTCATGTAAGTTTTTCACAGAATATCTCTCAAAATTTACAATAGTTTTATAGCTCTATTTTTATTAGCCAAATCTCCGCACACGTATCCATATTCGAATCCGCACCCCCGAATCTTAAATTTTAGATTTTGCCGAATCCGATACTCGGATCCGTCCCCGTATCGGATACCCGCACCCGAGTCCGAGTAACTTAGGTGGTAATATCCCATGTCTTTACAGTTTTACTATTTAAGGCTGTACGATGTTAATTAGATTTGATATTCACGTCCTTAATTTTAATTCCATTTATTTGATGAAGTCAAAACAACCAAATATGTATAAATAAGGATTGCTAGTCCATCCAACTTGTCGTTGGTGAAGATTGAAATGAAGTATCTAAGCTTTGGATAACCGCCATATAATGCTTCCTGTTAATATCTTAATAGATACAACGGTGTAGCCTTCTACATGCAGATAAGTCGTATTAGAAGATTTGCTTAGCTTTCTATAAGGAAATAGTTGCACTAGGAGTAAAGCTGTACTATTTACAGTCAAACTTGGGAACTGAACTATTTTTGAAGTATATATTGATTTACTATCTCCTTTTCAGATGGTTTTGAGTGTTATTTTTTCTATTTCATTAAATAAATGTCAGTGCATAGACAATACGGAGACGACTTTATAAGACGGATGACACTAAAACATCAGTGATTGTTGTCATTGTTACATATTATTGTGTTGTTTTAGTAAGAATGATGTGATATTACACTGAAGCATGAGGTTAGATTTGGACTGTCATTGGTGGAGCGCCAGAACAGAGCAGAATGGTTGCATGGCCGTGTGGCAGTTATTTGGCTCTATTGCAATCCACCTTTATTCTATTTGTCAGTTGTTTCTAAATCCAGGAAGAGCTAGGGGTTCTTAATTCAATTATGTGGCATCAGCTGTGAAACAAAACAGAATTGAGCCTAGTAACTTATAAGAGCACCCCAAGTATTTGATCCGAAATTAAACTAGGTAGTGGTCTTTTCATTTACGAAAGAGTTCATCACCTTAATTAATTGTCCTGGATTCCCAACTTCCAGTAGTCAGATGAAAAATATTAGGTGAGACAAAAATAGGCTCGCTCGATTAGAATGAGTCATTCAGATGCATTTTGTGCTTACTGTGCAAATGTGGTGCATGCATTCTACAGTGGCTCATTTCAAGTATTTTGGCCTAGTAAACTAATTCTGTGGAAGCTTACTTGTGTACGAGTAGTCTGTACCTCTAATGGCTTGTTTTTCATGTTCGCTAAAGCAATCAATGGCTCATCTTCTTGATTCAGTTAAGAAGATGCACGAAGCATGATTTCTGCTGCTTCCCTCAATTCATGTGTGTCCCAGGCAGAGTCTTCTCCTGATTATAATACCCTTTATATCCTAAGGAACAACAAAGAATTATGAATTTTTTTATAACAAAAAAAAGAATCTAATGAATGAAAAAAATCTCATATTATGTGCAATCCTGTAATCAAATTCCTTTATGTTAAAATGTGTGAAATTTACTTCAAAGTCACTTTTGCAGCCTGCAGGAGTTTGCATTCATGAATTTTCCAGATATTATTAATGCTACATAGATGGTTTTGTGATAAAGTTTGCTTGTAATGTAGGGCAAGTCATGCTGATTTCGTTGTACCGTACCAAAAGTACATGAAAAGCATCAACAGTCGGATTCCTGTTGGAACAAGATTTAAAATGAGATTTGATCTAGATGATTCACCTGAAAGAAGGTACTTATATCCTTACAATCCCATATTCAGCTTTTCTTTGCAGAAGGTTTATGTTGTAATAAAAAATTTCCACTACTGCATGCAGGTACAGCGGTGTAGTGACCGGGATAAGTGATATGGATCCCTTTAGATGGCCCAACTCAAAATGGAGATGTTTGATGGTACTTCTAGCATATACTTGGCATTAAATTGTATATAGATGTTGTTATGCTCCACTTATCATTTCATGTTTTTGAGCCAGTTGGAAATTTGTTCTATTTATCTAGGGTGCTCTTCTTGCTTCCTTGTTAGTTTCAGACCCCTTTATGTTCTTGAATTTTCTGCCAGTGTTCACTTGTAGCAGTACCCTGTTTATCCAGACTCGGCAGTTTTCTAACACCTAGATCTGCTTGTTGAATACCACTAGGAACACCAGAAGGACACGCAGGACCATATGCTCTTTTTTTTCTTTTATTAATTGTATTTGTCGAAAGTCGGCAATTTGAAGAATTGGATAATTCAAAGGCTTGACCGGGTGTTGACTTTGGTGTTGTCGGACTCCTATGGTGGTTTTGATACCTTGGATAAGTTCATTTAGTTGATTGGAACTTGTGTGTAATGTTTGGTTGTGAACTGGATCGTCTAACTGTGATTCAGACGAGTTCGGCAAAGTTGGAATGTTTGAAAGTTAAGAGAATGATTTTGACCTTCGATTCTTTGTTTTGATGTTAAAAAATAATAATTAGAATATGGATGTGCATTAAATCCTGTAGAGCCCTTCAGGGCTAAGATTAATTATCAAACTATTCTTGCTTCGATTGTAACTACAACGAGAAATTGCTAAATGCTCAGTTGTTGTAAGATGCTTGATAGATTTTTCCTGTCAAGACTGATAAAGTTTGCTTTTGGCATAATATTAAAATACATCCTTGTATTGCATATCTTGAAATAATTTCTTCCAACCAAAGCTGTTACAAATTTACAATAAGTATAGTGTCCGTCGACTCGAAAACTTTTTGATCTAAGTGTCCTTGTTATCAACTATAATAGGTCAGATGGGATGAAGATATCATGAGTAATCATCAAGAACGGGTTTCTCCATGGGAAATTGATTCTTCAGTTTCCTTACCACCACTGAGCATTCAGTCTCCAAGACTGAAGAAACTGCGGACTAATCAGCAGGCTCCATCGTTAGACAGCCATTTTGCTGGTACTGATCAAACTTTTCAAATATTATTTTGATTATGTTGTCATTATGTCATGATTCCACTAACGTTCTCGTTCTTTTTTACAGGAGGGAGTGCTCTTTTGGACTTTGAGGAGTCGGTAAGATCCTCCAAGGTCTTGCAAGGTCAAGAAAATTTAGGTCTGATATCACCTCCCTATGGATGTGATAAGACAGTCCGCCCACTGGATTTTGAGCTGCAAAATGTAGCTCGTCACAATCTCATGCCAACTGGTATAGAGAACATAATTGTTGGAGACTTTGTGAAAACTCAGCCTCCAACAACCTACACAGGCTTTCTGGAATCCAATAGGTTTCCAAAGGTCTTGCAAGGTCAAGAAATTTGCTCGTTAAGATCCCTTACTGGAAAAGGTGATGTTAATTTTGGTGCTTGGGGAAAACCTGAATTTGGTTGCAATGTTTTTAGCACATATCAGAGGCCGAAGACCAATTTCTATCCTCTTGCTTCTGAAGGGGCGAGGAATGTGTTTCTACCATATAATGCGATGTATAGAGCTGGACAAGATCCTGTAGTGCATTCCTACATTAATAATAATTTCCAAAGAGAAAATCCTACCTCAAACCAGAATTCAATCCAAAATGGGGTTAGGAGGGAAGAAGGTGGAATGCAGAAGTTTGCAAATGAGCAGAGGCCACTGGAGATGTCCATATTGTCTATTCCGGAGACAAATTTCAAGAATGAGAACGGTGGCTCCTTAAATGCACAGGCTTCTTGTAAACTATTTGGCTTTTCCTTAATAAAAGAACCCTCTACTCCTAGCTCGCACAGTTCTGGTAAGAGGAGCTGTACAAAGGTAAGCTTCGATAAGTGCACGTAACGGATTGGAAATGCTTTCACTTCAGACTCTATTGCTAATTTTAATAAATGGATGAAGGTTCACAAACAAGGCAGCTTGGTTGGACGAGCCATTGATCTCTCAAGGTTGAATGGCTATGAGGATTTGCTGGTTGAGTTGGAGAGGCTTTTCAACATGGAAGACCTCCTAAGAGATCCCAATAAGGGATGGCGAATCTTGTATACCGACAGTGAGAATGACATGATGGTTGTCGGAGATGATCCATGGCAGTAAGTCTCTTTTTCATGCATTTGAGTTCTCATTGCTGTCTCAATTATTTTGTACCAAGTTCAAAAGATATTACTCAAACGATGTATATCTGTGAATCATGAGAACCCCACAAAATTTCTCTTCCAATTAGCTTCTTGAGTTTTGGATGTTAAATCATCTCTACAGGATCCGAGTTTTCTTTTACTTTTCTCCTCCCATAAGTGATTGGTCGATACACTTACGGGTACTTTCTAATGACTGTTGTAGTGAGTTCTGTGAGGTAGTATCCAAGATCCATATATACACTCAAGAAGAAGTGGAGAAAATGACAATTGAGGGGATCAGTGATGATACTCAAAGTTGTTTGGAGGAGGCACCGGCATTCATGGATGCCTCGAAATCTTCTTCAGTTGGCCAGCCTGATTCTTCTCCAACTGTAATCAGGATATGAAGAAGCTGAGGTCCTACGAATGTTGTGCTTGTTATGTTACTTAAGTGATATATATGTGATACTATTCTACCTACTAGATGTTCCTGTTATGTTAAATAAATTGTTACTCCTTAGTCAACTTGTGAAGTTATGTTGGAAGTCTGTTTTCAACTTACAATGGGGCTTCTTGTGATAAAATTATATGGTGACTCATATGCCATAACTTTGTATTCTGAATATGTTCCACTATGTATAACTTTGAACATTGTATGACTACCCCTTCTCTCCACCCCCCCCACCCCCACCCCACCCCCACCTCCACCCCCCAAAAAAAAAAACCAAACCCAAGTTGTGCCTGGGAAATACTATATCACCTACGTTAACTTTGTTTTCACCTTCTAACTTGTCTAATCTCTTATTTAGGTAGGAGGATATAAATGAATTGAGAGGAAATCTGAGTTAGCTTCTGATGGAGTTTGGAGCATGTTAATATTAAAATCATATTTTTATGACATCATTTGTTGAAGATAGTAGTGATATTATGGTGTTAGTGCATGCTATAATTGTAAGTTTTTGTAAAAAAAGAAACAAAAGGTTTGAGGCACTTATTCCAGACATACTTCTTTATTGCCCAGTAACAAGTCTAGACAACACTAAATATTTTTGGTGGGGAAGGGGGTGGGTTGTTAGTGCCATCTAATGCCGGCCTAGATTGCACTGGTAGTGTCAATAGTCAGACTATAAACACTACAAGTAAGTAGGCTTACTAATTGAATATTTTAATGAAGTAATCACCAATAACAACCCTATATAACTCGTTTCTAATACTAAGCTATGAAAGCACTGAAACCAATTTTCATAGGCTATCTTTGTATAAAATTCTTTGTTCTTAAAAATGGTATTATCTGTACAATTCCTATTAGCTACATGCGCTGAAAGCATGATCTGCTTTTCTTTTCTTTTTTTGCCTTTTACATTAACTTTAAACGCTTTACTAGAATCAAAATAACTAAATTTGGTGCATGCATCGCTTAGATTAAATTTTTTTCCCAAAATACTATCCCGGCTTCTCAGAGTAAGCTCATTTCTAGCCTCAATCACAACTCTTCCATTTCATTTATTAGGAACTCCCAAAAATAGAATGGCAATAAAGATTATTAGTCTTCCAGAACACTTGAGATAATGGCTTTCTTTCCTAATACACGAATTACTTCCTTTTTCACGTACATAAAGCTAAAGGGAACAACTTCACTTATTTTTTTTCTTTTGTTCCAGAAATGTAAAGAAAGGAGAGGTGGGAGGTCGTCAATTTGTGAGTTGTGATATTTTCCCAAGGAGCTCAAGAAGCCATCAATTTCAATGTTTATTGTTCTTTAAAGAGTTCACGACCTATTATCATTCTTCTGATCTCACTTGTGCCTGCCCCAATCTCATACAGTTTGGCATCTCGGAGAAGACGTCCTGTTGGGTACTCATTCACGTAGCCGTTGCCTCCAAGGCATTGAATCGCCTGCACCACACGCACAATCTCATAAGCATATCATCTTTCCTACTAAACTTGTATAACCGAGAAATTCCCAGTAGCCAGATGACACAGTTCAAAATTTGATGGACTACGGGCCGTCTCTCTACCTTATCATCTTTCCTACTAAATGATGGCAGCTTTTGTGCCTTTAGTTCCATTAACATTTTGGCATTACTAGACTAAGCCAAGACAAAAGAAATTTGTAAAGAATCCCCTAGCAGGGATTCTTTCAGAAATGACAGTCATTTTCTGTGTTCTTAAACCAGTCAGAAATAATAATAGCAAGTTCCGAACTAAAGATGACACGTGAACACAGCCGATGTAAAGAAGAATTAATTATCATAAAGGAACAGAAAGGAATTAAGTTTTTCACCTGAAGAGCTACTTGGGTTGCTCTTTCAGCAGCAGTGAGTATAACACCAGCACAATCCTGAACAAACATAATTTGCATGTTAAGTGCAAAGGAAAAATGTTTCTTTGGTTAAGTTTTAGCTTCTAAAGAGTAAAGAAACTAAAATTAAACAAATGAAAATTTCTACTGCAAGGACCTTTGTGTTAATATTCCCGCTGTCACATTCCCTTGCAACAGAATAGACATAAGCTCTGTTGTGAACAATGAAAAAGAATAAGTACATGATATTATCGATCAGAGTGAGTAACGAAAAGGATATAGAAGAAGTATGACAACAAAGAACACCTGACCTTGAAGATTGCAAAGACGTGTACATGTCAGCTACTTTTCCCTATGTTTTCAGGTCAAAGGCAAGATAAGTTTAAGAATTCTGACAGACAAAGAACAGCAATAAAGGTACATTTGTCCAGAAGGCAGTTAGGAACCTGTATAAATTGAAATTCTCCAATCGGTCGACCAAATTGTTCTCGTTGTTTAACATAGGGTAGAACGACATCAAGACAGGCTTGCATAAGTCCAACGGGACCAGATGACAAAACAAGTCTCTCTAGATCGAGTCCCGACATCAGGACATAAACACCTGAAGCAATAGAAAAACTTTTCTAAGAGAGAGATAGGAGCAATGACATTGTCTAGGTGTGACACTATGATAAAGAAATAAAAAGGAGACGAGGTAAACCCAACAAAAAAAAAATTCAAAGTAGTCGCTGCAAAAGACCTACAATCTCTCACAAGCTATGCAGACTTACGAAGAACTTCCAGTTCAATTTATACTACGGTGTTGGACAGGAAGTTTAAGATATTCATGTTTATATATGAATTATACTGATGCTGGTGGAAGAAAATAGTAAAGTAACAGTTGAAAAATTAGTGCGATAAAGAAAAATCACGTCTAAAATTTGGATAATTTAAGGAACTGAATTCCGGGAAATTGAAGAAGTTGACAGAAATGAAACGGTTTTAAACATTTCGGAACATCCCAAAATAGGAGTGTCATATGAATTGAAACAAAAGGAGCAGATGCAAAAGAATCCACATACGCATTACCAGCTAGTTTGGATTAAAGCTCAGTAACATTGTATTATACTACTTATAGGTTTGGCATAAGACTGAGTTTTAGTTCTTTAGAGATTTTTTGTATAGAATTTCTATTGTTGGAGAATCCCTAATTGTTTGAAAAAACAAATTATTAATTAGTGGAATAAAAATGGTCCGGATGGCATAGAATGAATATTGACGATTCATATAGCCAACCAAAAAAGATTAGGACTAGGCTTAGTTGTAGTTGTTGTAGTATTCCGAATTAAATCTCCATATTTCACTTGGCATGCTCTTTCAAAAGTTAAAGAGCATCTGCCGTTTAATCTTACTGCAAATAAATATGCAGGAGAGGACAAAGAATAACAAACTTTGAAGAGTCCCAAGTAACTTCCTTGTATTACATACCAATCAGGTACTATGTAATCGATCAAAAAAGCTGTTTCTCTTTAGGGAAAGGAACACTACTTGGTGCAACCAAAATAAAAGGGTGAATATATAGTGTGCGAGGAAAAAAGGGTATTATCTCAGAAATAGTAAAAGTAGGGGCAGTATAGCAGAATGAAGAAAATAGTTGGAATTCAAAAGTCAAAACTAGTGACAGCTTAACATAAAATCTTTGAACTTTACCTATACATAAAAATCTAGACAAAAACTTTGTGAAACTCTAAGATTAAGAATTCTTTAGCATAAGCTGTATTTAAAAATTAGACAAATGCTGCACTCTTTGCTTGAAATTTTTGTAGCTCATTAGATCACACCCTTCAAGTTTTTACCCTTCTTTTTTTGGATTCTCCACTACTTATTCCATTAGATAAGCTAGTCCCTCTTTTTTCGCTTTCAATACCGAAAGTGGAAGTAAGGTGTAATATTAAGGAAGAAATGAGGCAAGATATTTGGGCCAACATAGAAGTTAATTAAGAACTCATACCTTTTCCTACCTGCCCCAAAATATTTTCTTCAGGGACGAAACAGTTCTCAAACACAAGCTCACATCTACAGTTTAGATTGAAGTTATTAGGCCACCTTCAGTATAGTAAAAAAAATATAAATCCAAACAGAGCAACACTTGGGCAAAGATGTACATACGTATCACTCCCTCGCATCCCAAGTTTGTCTAATTTCTGGGCCGTAGAGAATCTGTATATTCAGTTAAAGTAGATGAATAAGCATGTCCCGACTCACTGGGATATGTTTTGTTATAATAAATCATGCTTTACTATTTGTGTCATGCAATCATGCAGCTGCGAAAAACAAAACAAGAAACGATTTGTATTTTCTCTCCCTTTTTCATTTTCTATCGCAAGTAGTATCAGTACAGGGGGCATACCCTTTCATTCCCTTCTCGATAATGAAGGCTGTGATTCCTTTTGAACCAGTTGTTACATCCGTTTTTGCATAAACAACCTGATCCAGAAATAGATTTTCAAAACTGAACCTTAAAATTAAATTGCCGTTCAGAAAAAGACCAGAAATACCAATTCTAGATACACAAAGATAACACTTAGCCAAAGGATGTGAGAAAAATTGATAGACGGCTATTTCTAAAGCCAAGTTTTAACAAAAAAACACATTTTCATCTATCAGCGATACCAGGAAAATTGAACTTGTAAGAGAATCTCACAGACAAACCCCACTCACAGCTGAAAGTTAAGGTATTTCCCCCAAAAAAACATATAAAGGTAGGTGAACTCGAAAGAGGAGGAGAATTTTAGTAAAACCAAAGAGTATAGAGACTTTGCAGGTGCATCAATAGTATATCTCAAAAGTAACATTTCAATAGCCAATCTGCTGTGATTGCACATGTGCCAAAAGTGATTTGGCATACTGCTAGAAAGAAACCAGACAATCTATCTTACAAATTAACAGTCAATAAGCAAATTTGGATGAGTACTTCTATTTGGCTGATCAACAGAAACCAAATAAATGAGAAAATTATAGATGAAGAGTGCAAGAAAGAGCTCTGGGCATAATAAATAATAACCCAAGGCTGTAAAGAGAAACTCAATAACAGGAACCCAAGTAGTGAATCAAATTCAACTAGAATAAAGTATTGCATGTTGAATGATTCATTTAGCACAACGAAAGTAACTATTCTCAGGAAAACTAACAAACTATTTTTATTTTATCCTTCACTTAATATAACATTTTGAAAAAAAAAAAACATTTGTTTCTTTCCCACCCTTCCTCGATGTCACAAATGAGCTTCTCCAGAAATCAGTCCTTCACCTTCGCAGGAAAAGAGCTGAACTGCTGGTATTTTCTCTTATCGTCCTTCAACCATTCATTTTCATATGGTATTAGGTTTACGTGTGGTGTATATGACTTTTCCCCATCTTCCAACTTTCTCACCTAATAGATTAGGCATGTCAAATCTAAAATTCATATTCTTAAGACTACTTTTAGAATGAGGTAATAAAAATTACTATTACTACTACAACAAAATAAGAATAGATCCTTTTTTAATCCATTATCTGTGGTACAAAAGATAAATCCTCAGGAACTAATGGCAATCGAACAATATAAAGTGAGAACAAATCTTGACAAAATAAAGTACAACAACAACAACAAACCAGTGTAATCCCACAAGTGGGTCTGGGTGATAAAACCGAAAAGTAAGGAGAGATATTCAAGAAAAGTACCAGTGTCTGAGCAGTCGGACCATTTGTGCACCACATTTTATTTCCATTCAGAACATAACCACCCTCAACACGATCAGCTTTGCACTTCATGCTAACAACATCTGAACCAGCTGAACCGTGAAAATGAAACTATTCAGCGACACTCAACACACAAAATTCACAAGCCTTTCGCTCTCTCGTAATAGCTGACCACCTCTCCATTCAATGAAATAGGAAATGGAGATTTAACATCCAAATTAATATGATGACGAGAGATACAAAATGAAATTGAATTAACAGTAATTGGGGATTCAGGTAGCTCACTTGGTGAGCTATCCAACCTCCACCATGTAGGTGTGGTTCAAATCCCCATATGTACTCCCCTTCCCCATTCCCAGTCCCCTTCCCCTATGTATAACAAAATTAATTATAAAATAAAGAGGAATTAACAGTAGTTACCATTAGGTTCACTCATAGCTAGAGCACCCACATGATCACCGCTGATTAGCTACATCCAATCAAGTCATAAAAGAGTTAGCCACTACGTTAGTCATTCAGACATTTTATTCAAAAAAGAGGGATTAAAATTAACTGAACAAGGATATTAAAAATAAAAATAACAAATGTCCCACTTCTCTTGCCCCCTATATTTAAAGCCAAATCCTTGCCAATTGAAAGCCAGAAGAAATTTGGGCTATGTTTGAGCAAACTATAGCTCAACTTGCTCTCCGTAGAACTTCTTAAAGAGAATATTAGATTAGTAAATTTACAAAATCCAACCATAGGAATAACCTTCATCTATAACTCGAAGCCTACATGTTTCCTAATATTCTGAGTTATAAATCCATATCAGCTGCTTGCTATAAAAGTCTAGAGTTCATAATTGTAATTTATTGGTGTTCTACATTTGGTACCACATGATTCTGCCATTGATCATCTGAGCTAATCCAGTTCAGATAATTTCTAGAGAAGACTCATCTAAGTTGTGGATGTTGTTGATGACTTGTAAGAAATAATAGACTAGGTATTTGAAGCTTCAGTAAGTCAGTATATTCAATACCTAGTCCTTTGTGAATCGAGCTTGAGCCGTTACAATGTGAAGTTGTTGAGTGCATAAAACTATGGCCTACCCTGGGCAAATGGAATACTCGCACCAACAGTATTTCTGTATTTTCCTTTTCTTTATTTCTTTACCTTTTTTCCTGATAAAACACCAACGCCAACAGTTTCAAGTAATCTAGACTGCGGATCCACCATCAAAGATTTGAAGCACTTACGAGATATATTTTGGTGAATCACGATATCCTTGAGGAATACAAAACTAAAGAGGAACTTTCATGAGACTCCAACCATTGTACTAATAATAGCATGTCTGAACCAATAAATTTGATAGAATTTGTGCAGGGCAGGAGTAGACCGAATCGTAAACATGCATAATATAAAAGAGAGTTGTTAACATGAATGATTTCCTCTTCCAATAATCAGGTGATTTTCTGAAAGAGATGATGTAATTTTTGGTTCATCGAATATGAAGGGTGGTCTATTGAAAGACCACGGATGTAAATCACCTATACTGGAAAAAACATAGTAGCTGGCAGGAAATGTAAATATACTACTGAAAACAAAATCTGATGGTGGAAGATAACCTTTGGTAGGTACTTTTGCTTCTGCTCATGCGATCCATTTCTAACCTACAAAATCATCAGTAATTGTTAAATATTTGGCATGCAACTCAGATAGAGCACCTACATATAAAAACATGAGTGGTAAAACAGTTACCAACTGATTAATGCATAGGTTCGTGTGGGCACCATAAGAAAGGCCAACTGACCCTGATGCTCGACTAATCTCTTCCATGGCTATGCAGTGATACAGATAACCAAGGCCAAGTCCTCCATATTCCTCTACAAGAAAGGAGCAATCTCAGACATAAAACTTTCGCCACTGTCACAAGTTCCAGTATGTAAAGAAATTTATAGCTAAAGGAAGAAGAAAATCGAAGGTCATAGTGCTTAAAATGTTATGTGCAGGTAAAAGAAAGGAAAGAAAACAAAAAGAAAGATAGCTCTGAAGTGAAAGAAGTCGAGCTACACGGTTACTCATTCCCTACAAATAACTGCTTTCATAAACATATTTTGGACATGGGATGTTAATTTCTTAATTCAAAAGGCAAAGAACAGTATCTCTTGAGAAAAATGAAGCATACTATTAGCTATATGCTTCTGCAACCCAAAGGAAGAGTAGGATAGACTCCTGTCTTTGTTTAACGCAAGTCAACTCCCTTATAAGTATGGGCTGACCAGAGATAAACAATACCACCAGAAAAAGATATCCTGATTGAAGCTTTATTCAAGACATCAGGAGATTCCGATTCCCCCTTACTCTATGTGAACCTAACTCTTGTTACACATGTTAAGAATATTGAAGCTCATTATCACTAAAACATTATACTCTAATCTGAATTTGAAGCTTCAAATTACATTGGCAACTGATAAATCCCTATTCTCAATCTGTAAAGCTCATAGGGCCAGTGATTGAGTGCTCGATTGATCAACGACGAAGCAAACAAAGAAATTGTACAACAGCTTTTTCGTACACATTCACTTGCATTATACTATCTTCAACCAAATTAGCGAATTAATAGTTCAGTTCCTATTGGATGCCGCTAATGGGGATGCCTCATCAATTCAATTCAAAGGCAAATCCATTTCCTAGTCACACGGCTAAACACATATTGGAGTGAAAGCAAAAAGGGTAGAGGGAGACTAAAGAGCATAATAAGAGAGACACTGGAAGTTATCATATTTTACATCTTCCCCTTTTTTAGCTGGAACTACAAATAGGTGACTTTACAATTCTTTTTACTGTAGTGACTGTCTCCATACCAGGTTTCCCTAGAGCAAAGACAGGTTGATCTAGTTACATGAAATAAAAGAATTGACGCGTGACAGCTTAATCCCCAGTTAAGTGAGATTTCCCTTTTGGTATTGGTCCATGCCATTTCATGGCAAGCTGATCATTTATGCTGAAGGCAGCGAACATAGTGATTTCAAACACCACACACAAGTGAAAGGCTGGTGGACAATAGACTGATCCAGACTTGGGATAATGTAAGGTATACAAAATAAGAGCTGAGATACTGTTTCCAAGTTTGCACGCCAATTATTAAAGAGTGTAATTGTCAGCTGGTAGTATGTTGATTCACTTGGGAAAGAAGTGTTCAATGAAATAATTTTGTGTAGCCCTATCACAGCTTCGGCTGATATAATGTCCAGGCATAAATGTCCATCTTAATGAACAGATTAAGCCCTCAGACTGATAACTGTTTAGCCAGAATATCTCCAATACTATGTATGTAAGTGCACAAAAAATCAATTAAGATAATATGAAGTATTAAGTTCCTTTTTTCATTCCCAGAATCCAGTTAAATAATGCAAGTCAAGAAAGAGTATAAAAACAAGTACGGCTTTTAACATCAAGAAGGTTAAATTATGGTGTCTATATCAGTGTCAGGGTTCTTCTTTAAAATATAGCTCTCTAGAGGAGTGTTAGTAGTTTTCTTCTCCGCCCTCTCTTGGCCCTATAATATCACATCAAAATCAATAAAGAGAATATGATCAAAGGCTTACCTGGCACTGTAATACCATGGAGATTAAAATCCCCCATTAGTTTCCACAAATTAACATCCTGATATCAGAAGAATAAATAGAGATTTAAATATCAATTCTTGTTAATAGAATACTCCTGAGAACAAGAGCAGATATTGCATTGCATGTACCTGAGGGAAATAATTTGTTTTATCTATCTTTTCAGCATGAGGGGCAATATTCTCTTGAGCAAATTGTGCCACGCTTTCTTTAAACTGTAAATTTGCATATGGAAAAATTAGAAAACTGCCATAGTGCATTAGGAAAAGATTGCATTCAGATGTGATGCAACTAAAACTATTGCCTTAAAGTAATACATATTCTTAACTGGCTTAAGTAAATAGGAAACGATTTCAGCAGTGATGTACTGACCGCTGAACTGCATAGGAAAATGCTAAACCAATTTTTAACCCATTCTCAGACCTCTATAGTGGTTCCAACCAGTGGTGAAACTAGGGGAAGGGAAGGAGGTTCAATTAATCCCCTTCACGGAAAAATTGTACCACGCAAATAGGGTAAAAACGATTTTTTTTTTGGTTATATATAAACTATTGAATCCCCTTGACATAAGTAAAGATTCTGGTGTTGTGAAGAGGGGGTTCAAAAATTACTTTTGGTCATAGGTTTGACATTCTAGTATTTTTTGAAACCCCTTGTATGAACTTCTGGCTCCTGGTTCCAACTTATCCATGTGACATGAACCCTCCCAACCGATAGGAGGCGAGATTTTGAACCTACTGCAAGAGGGACGGCTCATGAGCATAGCTTATAGAAATGATGCCTTTTAGCGCCCCTTTTACAGTATATAGGATGAAAGAGCTTTCTTTCATAAAGATTCAGCGAAATTGCATAATTTCATTGACAATTCAGCAGATTGACCACTGCTGAAGCGATAATGCAGCTTGCACAGAGAATGAACACATCAATTTAGCAATTTATCAATTCCCAGTCTCAGCAGACATCTTTCAAGAATCATCCAAAACCTTGACACCTTTCAAAAATAACTCAGATTTTAGGGTTATAAAAAAATCAGATTTTAGAGCATCACGTATGACTATGTGAACCAGCGACGGAGACATGCAATCAAGGGTATTCAATTGAAATCCCCTTCGCCAGAAAGTTATACTGCATAAATGAAGTAAAAACAATTTCTACATATATAGAATTTTGAATCCCCTTAATATAAGAGAAATACATATTTAAATTCCAGGTGCAGCATTTTTTTATTTTTTTTAATCCTCTTGTCAGAATTCATGGCTCCTACACTGATGCAAACCAAGAATAACAGATCAAAGACAAAAAGCAACTCAATCAAAATTGCTACAGAAGGGGCCCACAAAAGGGAGAGAAAATCAAAAAGAAGAAAGTAAAAGTAAATGGTCTTCATTAATATCTGAAACAAGACTACCCATATAACATTAATTACCTAAACCAACTACCTCCATAGAGTCATAGACTAATAGCAGAGCCTGGAATTACCAACCCAGTTGTAAAAACCATAAATAGGCAACTATATTTACATAATCCAAAAAGAGAAATTCTACTATGTTAATGGCTAGCCTAAAAATTTTGATTCAAATCCCATAGAAAAAAAAATACTAAGTGATTTCTTCCTGTCTACCCAGTATCCGTGCGCGCAAGGTGGCCCGGACACCACCACCATTTTATAAAAAAAAAAAGGAAAAAAAAAACATAGAGGAGATTATAGCGCAGTTGATTGACATTTGATAGGCAACTATAAATACATGCAAAATAATTGTCTTCACTAACATAATGACTGAAAGAATTATATAAATGGGTTAGGACCTGTTTTTGTGTATCATCGAAGAGTAACGAAGTTGAAAACGCAGCAAGCTGTGGCTGCTGCTTTTTGGTTCTGCACAAAGCAGATGTCAAAGACCTCGCTGCGAACAATTTATGCATACCTTTAATTTATGGGTATGTCACGCAGTTTATTGAAAATGGAGAACAATTGGAAAAACAATGACTAAAGGAAGCGTATTTATAGTTGCACATTATGTGTACAGTGTACCAAAAACTATGGTGGTTGGACTATCCAAGTTGTGGACGCAACTGCAATTATGTAAACTCTGGTAAGATAGACATTGGACCTTTCTTTGTCCCTAAAAAAAAATTTAATTTTAACTCTGACTTTTAAGCAGGGGTGGATATATTTTGGCCAAATCCGAAATCCAAACTGAAATCCATTTTTTTTTTTTTTAATTTTTGGTTTGGATTTTCGGATTATGGATTAAATTTTAAATTTTTTGGAATGAATATTGGATTTGGTACTTCGGCTTTTGGGATATCCAAAAATCCAAAATTTTTATACTTTATATTTAGTCAATTATCCATATGTGAATAGTAATAAGTTCAATATCCTAAACATTAGATATTATCTCATATATTCAATATTAATTATTAAGTTACTGTGAGAATATTTTCTATTTGGACATGATTTACTATTGCTACTTCTTATATGCCGTATTAATGTCTCTGTTTTTTTTTTATAAATAATTTCATTACTTGAATGCTTTATTTGAATGATTGCGGCAAGAATGAGGAACTTTTTAGGCAATTTAATATGAGTACTTCATTTGGATATTCATTTTTGTAAAAAGTAGAAACATCTCAACTTATAAACAGAAAATCCATAATATCCAAATCGATTAATCCGACATCGAGCTTAAAAAATCCAATCCAAACCAAAATTTCCATATTCAATCCAATCTGCCCGAACGCCCACCCCTACTTATAAGAGGTCGAGTTTTTTGTGGGTAGAATTTTGGTGTTTGATTTAGAGTTAGTCAGAAATTATTTATTTAGTGAATAATACTTTGACTCTAATAAGAAATTATACGGGCAGATATGCAAAGTATTCTGCTTCATGATCGGGAAAGGGTCGCACCCCAAGATGTGTGATGTAGACAGTTTACGATAATGTAAGCATTAGTAGTTGTTTCCACGGGTTCGATCGCACCCAAGAGGTGTACTATAGACAGTTCACCATAATGTAAGCACTAGTAGTTATTTTCACGACTCGAATTTGCGACCTATAAGTCACACGTAAACAATTTTACTATTGCTCTTAGCTAGCGTTTGGCCATAGATTCCCATATTTGTTTTGAAAAATCTAATTTGGGTGAAGTTTGATGTGAAGATGAAAATGTGTTTGGACATCAGTTTTCAAAACATATTTCCCAAATTTATTTTGGAAAAACATGAAACATGACTTATACCCACAAGTTCTAAAAATTATCACAAATACCCAACAGTACCATTAACATTCATTATATTATCGTAAACTATAGTCCTGAACATAAATAAATCTGGTACAAAATTATCATTTTTATAATGAACTACATGATACACTATCAGATGACCGAGAAGACGAAGCAACATTGTTACAAAAAAAATAAATGGTGGGCTCTTTTATAAAATACAAAAGTTTGGGGTAATTTTTTAAAAATGTAATAGTGATTGAGCTGGTTTTGGGATTTGGGATTTGAGAATTTGCCAAAATGTAGGTAAAATCTATGATCAAATATGTGTTTGCCAAATAAAAATCAAATTTGTTTTGGCAAAATTTATGGCCAAACGGGTCCATTCTAAGCAGAAATTGTGCATACAAGAAAAATAATAGTACTAGTAAGAATTATTATCTAATGTTTTACGCTTTATATGTTTGATTTGAAGTTAGGTACTAGGTAGATAGAAAATGTTTAGATAGTGAATAATAATAATATACTTTGACTCTAATGAAAAATTATTCTTTTTTTGAAACTTTACGAGGTTGTTTAATTTAAGCAGAAATTATTTATACAGGAAAAATAATAAACTAGTAACTAGTAAGAATTATTATGTATTTTCTTAGACTTTAGGCGTTTGATTTAGAGTTAGGTAGGCAGAAATCGTTTATATAAAGTGAATAATAATATACTTTGGCTTAGATAAGAGATCATTTTTTGGGTTAAATTTTACGAGGTCGCTTGATTTAGGCGAAAATTGTTATATAGAGAAAATAATATACTAGTAAAAATTATTATATAATAATATAAGAATTGTTTATGTATCACATTATGTTTAGAAGCTCTTGTTGACGTATTGTTAAACGACATATTCTTGCTTACCTTCTATTCATAATAAATAATACATATATTATTGTATAAGTTATTCCAATTAACAACTTTGCTTTAGATAATAAAATTCCACATATATTATGCGTGTTTAATATTAAAAACAACATATGATAACGTAAAAATCATACTATTAATTATACACTATTGTACGCCGAATATCAATAAATTATTTTATAAATAATAAGGAATGTTATAAAATTTTATACCAAAGGTTAAATTATTGGGAATACTACGAGATAAACATCTGACTAGATGCAGATAGACACGTGAGCTGGTAAAAGATCCATCCCAAGTATGAGGATGTTCGCGTTTTTAATGGAAGATGCTAAGATTTTTATATTAATTGTTCCACAAGGATACAGATTTAATTACGGGTTTTAAAACGTGCTCATAGAGAATTCAAGTTATTTATTATATTCATTTTAATTTATGTGACATAATTTAATTAGGTATGAAATTAAATTTGTTATGATATTTTAATGACTATAAAAATATGTCACTAAGCATAAATTAAAGACCTAAAATTAAATTATTTTTAAACGTCGAAAGATATCATTCTTTTTAATTGAATGAACCAATTAGAAAATAGTGCCAGTTGAAGAGAGAAATAAATGTTATTCTATTGTTAATATGTACTCAATATGGACGAGCCATTTTTTTTTTGGAAAGCTACACTTTTTTTTACCCAACTACCTATTCATCGTATTTATATCAAATCAATAAATGCAAAATACATATATATTGTATTCATAGATTATCACCTAATTATGATTTAATAATACGCTTCACTTTAATAATGATTTTGTGTACGGGTAAAATTGGGGGCAAAAGTTTTCCCCAATTCCCCAATAAGGAAACAAGAGGGAAGCATGGTTCGACGCGACTATAAGTGAGGCCGAAAGACTCTTGTATCGGAATCCGGGAGGGGTGAACGACGTGTCTGTGATTGGGCATGGTAAAATAACAGACCCAGACCAAGTAAAGTTTCTAGACCATGGAAACGCGGGGAACGGTTATACAGGACAAGTAGGGAGCCATAGTATTCGCCCTCAATCGGATATTACGGCGCGAATCCCGTCCGATATCAATTGCGGATCGAGATTTACCGGAAAAAGAAGATTTTTACTTTATTTGGACTTGTACTAGGGTTGAATTTCCTTGCTATATAAATAGGAAAGTTTTTTTTATCTTGGCACGTGGCTGACAGGCAAATCAAAGCAATAAAAGTTCATTTTTATCTTCTAGCTATTGTTCAAAGTGTTCTTCATTTGTTCTCTTCTTTATTTGCAACCGAGCTCATATCGAGGGTCCGGTCGAGGTCGAATTTCACTGTTCAACCCTAGATCAGGCTTGATCATCACATTACGATTGATTTGATCTTTTATTTTATCTTTAACTTAATTACTTGTTGTTCTTAGATCATTCATATTGAATTAATCGTATATCCTTTAAACCGCGTACAAATTTAATTGTTACTCATTTTTTAGGGTAAACAGTTTGGCGTCCCTCGTGTGGCTAAGAATAATAGTGGTGATTTGATACGAATATCCATAACACACCTTATTTTACGCTTGTTCTTTGAAGTTTTAATTCCGGGTTAGCCCAAGGATGTCAAATTCTCAGTTTGTTCACTTGAACGTTGACGCCGAGTCAGGCCACCATGGTGAGAATAATAATGTGATGCCTAGAAATGATGTGCCCCCTGTCGTTCCGACCGGTCGATGCTAACTCGCAGGTGGCCATCAACATCAATCTAACGACTGATCCTGAAAACACCATTCGCGGGGGACCCCAGCCAGCGGCTCGAGAGGCTTCCGAAGGTGAAGGTGATAGGGTGAGCCTGCAGTTGATTTTTGAAATGTTGCGGGCTCAACAAGCAGCGATAGCGCAGTTATAGAACTAGAACCATGACCCTAACAGGGTCGAGCCCGAGCAGTCCTGGGAAAATACTCTAAGGGATGAACAAGTTGTCGTAGAACCAGGTGAGTTCGGGCGCAAGGAAACTTCTAAGGTGATGAAGATGCTCGAAGCATTGGCAAAACGGGTGGAGCCTGGCGAGAAAAAGATAGAGGCCAATGACAAGAAGATGGAAACGTATAACTCCAGTGTCGATCAGATCCCGGGAGTGCCGCCGATATTGAAGGGGTCGGATTCCAAAAAGTTCATTCAGAAGCCTTTCCCCCCGAGCGCGGAACTAAAGCCGATCCCGAAGAGGTTTCGGATGCTAGACACTCCCAAGTATAATGGGACCACGAATCCAAATGAGCATGTAACCTCCTATACATGCGCAATCAAATGGAATGACTTGGAAGATGACTAAATTGAGTCGGTGCTGCTGAAAAAATTTGGGAAAATCTTGCCCAAAGGAGCAATGATATAGTATCACAACTTGCCTCCGAATTCTATTGACTCGTTTTCCATGCTACAAGATGCTTTCGTGAAGGCACACGCCAGTGCCATCAAGGTCAAGACAAGAAAGTTAGACCTTTTCAAGGTCATGCAGAGGGATAACGAGATGCTTAGGGACTTCGTGTCGAGGTTCCAGATGGAACAGATGGATCTGCCACCGGTTGCGGATGATTGGGCCGTCCAGGCATTTACTCAAAGGCTCAACCCCCGAATTTTGGTGGCTTCTCAACAGCTAAAGTAAAAATTGGTGGAGTACCTGGTGGTCACCTGGGCCGACGTCTACAACAGGTATCAATCGAAGATCAGAGTCGAGGACGACCAACTCGGGGCCCCTTTAGGGTCTGTTTACCCCATCAAAACTGATGACAAGTCTAATAGAATCATCGATTATGAGCTGAGGCCGGTCCGAGACCGATACCAGCCATATGACACAGATCGGAGGGGAAACAGACCTTGCCACTCGACAAGGAACGACAAGAGAAATGATCGAGGACAGAGCATCCGGGGCCTGATGAGCAAGAGCGGGTTTGACAGGTCGCTCGGGAGTAAGGAGGCACCAAGTTATCGAAGTATAATTTCAACGTGGACGCTGCAAGTATAGTGTCGGCCATAGGACGCGTCAAAGAGACCAAATGGCCAAGGCCATTGCAGTCTGATCCTGCCCAGAGAGATCCTAGTTTGGTGTGTAAGTACCACGGTACTCACGATCATAGGACCAAAGATTGTCGACAGCTAAGAGAAGAAGTAGCTTGATTGTTCAACAATGGGCACCTTCGAGAATTCCTGAGCAAGCGAGCCAAAAACCACTTCAGATAAAGGGACGCCAACAAACAGGTCGAACAAGAGAAACCTCAGCACGTAATCAATATGATCATTACCCCAAGGGCCGATGATAAAACACACCAAAGTTTCTATCACGAGAGAAAAACGCACCCGAGATGACGTCCCGAAAAGAGCTATCTCGTTTAGCGACGAAAACGCCGAGGGCATCGTACAACCTCACAATGATGCACTGCTATTATTCGCACTTATTAATAAATCTCGGGTTAAACGTGTGTTGATTGATCCAGGTAGCTCGGCCAACATCATCAAATCGAGGGTCGTAGAACAACTGGGGTTGCAGGATCAAATCATACCGGTGGTCCGGATATTAAACGGATTCAACATAGCGTGCGAGACCACGAAAGGTGAGATAACTTTATCGGAAAACACTATCGGGACTACCCAAGAAATAAAGTTCTACATGATCGAAAGGGATATGAGGTACAATGCCTTGTTCGGAAGGTCGTGGGTTCACAACATGAGAGCAGTGCCTTCGATCTTACACCAGGCGCTAAAATTTCTCACTCCGGGAGGAGTCAAAACAGTTTATGGAGAATAGCCGACCACAAAGGAAATCTTCAATGTTGATGAAGTAATTCCGGTGCTTGCGGTTTCAACCAAAAAAGTGGGGAACCGATCAAAGAAGAAAAAAACTAAATAGCAATCAATAATACCGACCTCACCTGAGCTGGAAAAACAGAAGGAGCACAGAGCGGATGATGAGGATGATTTCAGCATCCTGAGATCATTCATAGCACCCGATGACACTGACGCCACCAAATCAACGATCGAGGAGTTGGAGCAAGTGACGAGCGCAAAACACAACACGAAATTGACGCTCGATAATCAAAGATAGTATAGTAAAATATCGTCTCCACAAGGATTGAATTTAAACAATGTTCAAGTGAGGATCAACACTTGAGTTAAATGATTATGAACTACGATTAACTACTAAAGTAAAGCAATTGACAATTGACGACAAGGAAATAGAGATTCGCAGAGTTGGTTTCTTATCAATATGAGGAATAAGGGTCGTGACAGGATAGGTACAAAATTGCTATTTGGGATTTAACTCTAGTTTAATTCACCCTAATGTTCTAATGATTCTCATGAATTCACTCGAGGATTAGTTCAAATGTGTAGTCAAGACTCCTCTTTCAATTAAATATTAACTCTACAAGGTGAACTAATATAAGCAATGTGAAAGTATGCAAGCATGCGTTAATGGATTAGTCTTTAGGAAAACGTCTCTCGAATATTCTCCTAACTTGATATAATCAACAATTCAACATGCTCTTTCGATTATTTAAGAGAAGCACTGAATTAAACCAAATAAAATAATACAAAGATAATCACCAAAATATTCCTCTTTCGATTAAATACCTCCGTGAATAACGTTACAATAATTCAAAACTCCGTAAACGAATACAAGCAAGAACACGTGTTAAAATCCACAAATATTTATCAAAATATCATATCCGTCAAACCCTAAGGTAAACTACTCCATAATCATGGAGGAAGTCATCACAAATATAATTAAAGAATAATGAAGCATCAATCTAACGTTACAATCCAAACTCCCGTATTGAATTGATGGAAAGATGATGAAATCCCGAGTCTTGTAGCCTCCATTGCTCTCCCAAAGCTTCTAAGGTCAAAAGTCCCCTAAATATCATATTTTTGGTGTATTTATACCATGTAGGAATGGGCCCGGATGAAACTACCCTTTCCAAGCCGAAGCAGGAAAAATACTCTAAGAATTTTGTACGCGCGCGCCGCACCACGTGGTACGCTAGTGAGGATTTATAGAGACCTTGCAAATTTTCTGTCAGGCTGATTTTTACACGGTCGCGTCGCGAAGGGCGTCGCACAGTGCGTCGCGTTAGTGGCCTTTTTCAGAGAATTGGCCAATTTCATTTCTGCTCCTATTTTGTCTTGTCTAATGATGAATTGGGCAGCTACTTCATGGGGACACGTCACTTGCATGTCTTAATTTTGGAGCATTCAGTTCCTTAACTTTTTATGAGAATTTTGGCTAGCCACTTCAAGTTGCACGTCTTCCAACAAGCCGTGATAGGCCATTTACATGGCCTTGAGCATTTTTCTTTTACTTTTTATATACATACGCAGTCGTCGATCCCCGAACTCGATCCCGACTTTAATTCTCAAACTTCTATTTATACTTCAAAGTTTTCTTTTACTTATTTTAGATCCAAAAACTCAGCTTAGCCCGAAATCTCAACCTATATAACAGAAAACACGTAATGAGTATAAATTATCTATATTTTAGCTCAAACACAATTAAAGTGTATCAAATAATAGGTGCAAAGTAGCCAAAAATTCGTATTTCTAGCCTACCATCAATACCCCACACTTAGACCAATGCTCGTCCTCGAACAATCAAACTACACTTTAAATAGGGATGACCTTATCAAGAAACTCTCCTAACTCATCATGCCAAGAATATTTAAAGTAGACTAAGCACCCTATCATAACATCCTAGCCTCAACACTCGACTCCAAAGCACCATGTATTTTTCAAAAACCTGCTCACTAACTTTAACACAAAGGCCAAAGACATTACCTTTTCTTTGCAAATCATGTTCCCTCACACCAAAGATAGAGAGTAGTTCCACATACAATAAAATTCAAGAAAAAATAGGAACTGAAGATAGAAAGAATTAACTCACTCTCAGAAATAAGATTCATGCGCCACAAAAAATGTACCATAGGCTTGCCCGTAGTGTAGTACTCTACTAACTTGAGCTCATTCAGTCAGGGATCAAGTAGGACTTTATTTTGGTGTAATGTAGGCTGCGGAACGGGTATGATACATATAGATAATAGTGTTTACACCTCCCTAAGCACTTTAATACATACAAATTCACATTCTAAACCCCACACTTATATTGAACCAAACCCAACCTTCACACATAATAGTATCAACCTCCCAATATTTTTAAGCACACACAGGATGAGAACTACCACTAGCAATGAATCTATTTTTTTTTCTTTTCAAAGTTCTAATTTTTTCTTCTTCTTCTAAGCACTTCATTTTTTCTTTCTTTCTTTTCTAAGTTCTGAATTTCCTTTCTCTTTTTTTTTCTTTGTTTTTTAATTCCCTACAAGCGACTCTTACAAATTTTTTCAAATAGTGCACCTTTTTCTTTTTCTATAGTTCCACTCAAAAATCAAACTATTCCTCCACTTTGCTTTTAACAAGCTCATAAATATTTCAAGTGCTCAAGAGAGGTGAAAGGTTCAAACAAATAGTCAATTCAAACAAAAGGGTCAGGTTTGTAGTGTGGTTGTCAAAAAAATAGGAATATTGGCTCAACGGGGCTAACTAAGGTATCCATTAATTAGGTGGGTAAAAGCATCTTGTTGGCTCAACAAAAAAAATGCCTAAATCACTTCCTAGACTGAACGAGACTACTATTTTGCTTTGCAAACACATGGGGAAAGTTCTAGACATCAACTGACATGCACAGAATATCAACAAAATCTTACACACACTTTGGTACATAACTCACTCAGGATCGGATTTCCCGACTCTATAGTCAAAGCAGTTAAGCAAAGTCACAATCAACCAATTTAAGGCACTTATCTATGAGTCAAGAACTGAGCCTAGGTATCACAACTAAGGTACTCACTACTTTCAAGGTACAACAACATCAAGAAAAGTCATCTCCATTTAATACATAGCACAAGATGTCACTATTCCTAATAAAAAATATTAATTACACCCGATTCAAACAAAATCCTTGAAAAAGAACCGCGGCACAAAGAAAAATCAAGAGGGAATTGTTACACTACCTAAGCAAACAAAACAAAATAAATGGCTAAATTTTTTTTTTCTACTTTAATCCCTCAAGAAGACAGCCGAGGAAATCCATCGTCGAGAAAAGTCAATTTTTTTTCAATCAAAAGAAACGAAAACAAACACACATATATATATTTACATCCCCCACCTCACACTTTAAATTGTGGCATGTCCTCATGAAGCACAAAAAAAAAGCAAGAGGTAAAAAAAAAAACTTCCTTGATTCATCTAGTTGGGGTCTATCGAAGTCGGGATCTCCCTTGCACGCCCGACCCAGTGCACACATCCATGCTGAGAGCTTCTTTTCAGCCTTCTTTCCCACACTTATTCATTTGACTCTCTCCAAGTTTCTCCTTTACCCCTCCCCCCTCCTTCCATCTTGAAGATCAGCCTTTCTTCTCCCACTCTGAGCATGAGCTGCCTTTCCTGAATATCCAGAATTGCTCTGCCCGTAGACAAGAATGATCTTCCTAAAATCAGCGGGACCTCCCTATTCTCCTCCATGTTCACCACAATGAAGTTCACATGGAATACAAACTTGTCCGCCCGAACTAGCACATCTTCCACTATTCCTTCAGGTATGATTGCGGTATGATCCGCCAGCTGCAATGACACAGGTATCGACCTGATTTCTCCAATCTCTACCTCCAATTTCCTGAAAATAGACAAAGGCATAAGATTAATGAAAGCACCTGAATCACACAAAGACTTCACTTCCTAAAGAGCATGGTATAGTAAAACTCCGTGGATCACTACATTTTTTAGGGAGCTTGTTTTGCAGAATGGCACTACAATGCTCTATGAGCTTGGCCACCGATGTCTCTTCCACTTTCCGCTTCTTGGGCAATATCTCCTTCACAAATTTAGCATAAGCTAGCATCTATGAAAGCATCTATGTGAAAGGTATATCCACATGCACCTGCTTGAGCACTTCTAGAAAGCGCCCGAATTGTTTGTCCAGCTTTTCTCTACTTTGCTTTTGGGGGAAGGGTAGAGCAGACATGTATTTGTTCTCCCCAGTCTCCTCATTCATTTTTTGTTTGTCTTTCTTCTTCCTTGTTGGAACTTTAGACTTGTTCGTCTACTTCAGATCATCCTCTTGCTCTGCCATCTCTTCATTCTAAACTTGATTTCCCATCAACTCATTCTTTTCTGCTACCAACGGATCTTGCAATACTTTTCCATTCCTCAACGACACTATATTTATTAATTCCTTTGGATTCCTTTCGGTATCCACAAAGAAGTTTCCTGGAGACCTCTCAGACAACAAACTAGCAATCTGCCCCACTTGCCTCTCTATGTTTTGAATAGCTGTACTATGAGTTTCAAATCTCTCATCCATTTTAATAATAAAATCTTTTATTAGATCTTCCATCCTAGACTGATTAGAATGTAGAGGATGGTATTACTGCCTCTGCTGATTCTGAAAAACTGGAGCTCCTTGTCCCTGGGGTCTCGGATTTTTTTGCTGCCATGAGTTCATGCTACCACTTGGTGAACTCCAAGAAAAGCCTTGGCGCCTCTGTTTGATAGAGTTAAAATCATTACCACTCTGGTAATTGCCTCTATCAAAGTTTCCCACAATATTTACCACTTCATCTGCAGCTGAGGCCTAACATTCATGCGTTGGATGACCCATTCTATAAAAATTACAAACAAATGATGGTTGGCTGTGGACCTTGGCTAAGGTCAATTTTCTTATCTCTTTGTCCATGGCGTATAGCTGGGCTTGCACTGACGTGTTAGAATCTACTTGATGAACCCAACTGATTTTCTTCTATCATTACTCTCAGCAGGCTACTTGTTAGCATCTTCAAAGAGCTTATCAAGAATTGCCACAATCTCCTCAGGAGTCTTCTTCATTAAAGGATCTCCAACTGCAGTGTTTAGAGTTCGTCGTGAGGGAGGTGTCAGTCCATTTCAAAAGTCCTGAAGTTGCATCCACAATTTATTCCCATTATGCTGATACTTCCTTACTATCTATGGGAATCTTTCCCATGCCTCGAATATTATTTCGGTTTTTGTCTGGCAGAAGTTGTAAATTTCTCTTCTGAATTTCATTGTTTTAGCAGCTGAGAAGTATTTATCAAGAAACTTTTTAGTCATATCTTCCCATGTCCTGATCGACCCCATTGGTAAGCTACGAAGACAGTGCTTCGCATCATCCTTCAGTGAAAAGAGGAACGCCCTTACGTATATTACATCTTTTGACACTTTGTTGTACTTGAAGGTGTTCATGATTTCCTCAAAATCCATCAAGTGAGTGTTAGGATCTTCGTTCACCTTCCCTCTAAAGACACAATTTTTTTGGATAGTTTGAAGCAAGTCATGCTTCAACTCGAAATTATTTGCTGCTACTGGTGAAGGTCTGACACTAGACATTCCCTGAATGTAGACTGGTCTGGCATAATCACCCAATGCTCTACTAGGCCTCGGTACTATATTCTCGAACTGGTCTTCAACCAAGGATCGATTTAGATTGAATATTTTATCCCTATCATCGTCGACAGTCTCATCAGCAGCTCTACAGGCTGCCTCAGCTGCTATTCGTGCAATTTCTTTTCTTTGTTGTGCTGCCTCTCTTGCAGCTAAATCTACTCCGTCGTCACCGTTATTAGCCATGTGTTCTGGGGTTGAAGGTTTCCCCAAGAACTTCCAGATGAGTTCTTTCTCTTTCCTCAACTGTCGCAGACTCTTTTCCACCTCTGGATTGTATGGAATCAATTCCTTTGAAGAAGATCGAGTCATACACCAGAGACGTCAATCTGTTTCCTACACACAGAAGAGGAAATCCGTGAAGAATAAAATAAAATAAGTTCCTGAATTAGAACCAAAAACTAATTTGAACACTATTGATTGCCAATCCCCGACAACGACGCCAAAATTTGACAAATGCAAAACACAACACGAAATTGATGCTCGCAAATCAAAGATAGTACAGTAAAATATCGTCTCCATAGTGATTGGATTTAAATAATGTTCGAGTAATTTCTGGTGTAATTGCTATTCAAGAGGATCAACACTTCAGTTAAATGATAATGAACTACGTTTAACTATAAAAGTAAAGTAATAGACAACTGACGGTAAGGAATTAGAGATTCGTAGAGTTGGTTTCTTATCAATGTGAGAAATAAGGGTCATGACATGATAGGTGCAAGATAGCTATGTGGGATTTGGCTCTAGTTTAATTCACTCTAATGTTCTAATAATTCTCATAAAGTCACTCGATGATTAGTTCAAACGTGTAGTCAAGACTACTCTCTCAATTAAATCTTAACTCTACGAGGTGAACTAATATAAGCACTGTGAAAGTATGCAAGCATGCGTTAATGGATTAGTCTTTAGGAAAATGTCTCTCGAATATTCTCCTAACTTGATGTTACAATCCATATTCACATACGTTAGTTCATGCCATAAGGTCGTCGAGGTAAATCCATGAAGAGATTATCTTTAAGATGATAAGAGGTTAATCCTATTGGTCTTAAATGATACAAAGGTGTATAAGGGTGGTTAACAAGTAAAGAAGTTAAACGAATCAAGGATGTTGTCAGCCGTATTTTTGGGTAAACCTAGGGGTGCTTAATACTCTCAAGAGGTCGTATTTTAAGGTATATGAATTATTAAATATCCGTATCATAGTCTTGAAGTCAAACGAGTTATGAAACAAAAGTCGACAAGAGTTGTTGCAACTTAGGTTCATAGTTTTACTTAAACTTTAGGTCAAATGTTATTAAGCTTTTCTCCCAATATACTTGGAATTACGGGGTGATCTACCTACCAAATTGAAGATCTATGAGTCTAGTATCCAATGCATTAAACCTTTTATCAATACGACATTGGAGTAGAGAGATATAGACATTTTTGCGAGACTGCACAAGCTGCTAGGTGACAAGTAGGAGGGTCACCTACTTGGTTAAATGATAGCCCAAAAAGAGGCAATTTCGGGTCAGACAAAGAGCCCATTAAAAGGCTTATCTTCTGCAATATATCCCTCATTATATTTCACAAATAACCAGACCTAAACCCCTGCAAACTTCCTCCCAAAAATTATCCACAAACCCTAATTGATTTTCCCTCTCTTTCAAGTTCAAATTGGGGGTAAACCCTAGAGTTTGAAGAACCAAGATAAGGGCTGAGTTATCCAACAAGTAAGGTGAGTTTACTCTTATCTTTCATACATTTATTCTGCTGTGAATTCATGGTAATTCGTTCTATACATGTAAGAACTCACGGGACGGTGATCGGAAGCCGTGAGTTCGAGTTATTCACTTGTAGCGGACTGTTTTGTGGACTGTTTTGTGTTGCTGTTGGGCTGCGTGTTTTACTACTGTTTTGTGGAGTTTTGGAGGAGGAAGGGTGTGGAGAAACACCATATAGATGTAGGGTTGTGGGCTGGTAGTTCTTCGCAACATTTCCGGGTCGTTTGACACGACTACGGTGGTCGTCGTATGTATGAAGTGATTTGGTTGTGCTTGGACTATTTTGGGAGGCTCAATATGATTATTATTGATGTTGTTTGGGCTGTTTGGTGATTCTTTGGAATTGTGTGAAGTCATATATATAGGGGAGGTGCTGTCCGTTTCATCGTAAAATAGGTTGTGGTCAATACATAATAGTTATGACGCTTGAATGGTAACTATAGTATCGTTTCTCTTATTGTAGACTAAGGAGTCGTGAAAATTGCATAGCTTGAGATTGGGGCAGTATATACAAGGTATGTGAGGCTATCCCTTTCCTTCTTTTGCACGACTCCGATTGTACATAATGTAATGAACGAGCTTCCAAAGATACTCTACTCTTAGAAGCTAGCAGTACTTACATTGTTTCCCCTCTTATGGAACGATTGATGTTGATGTTGCTTCTCTTATTCTTATGTTATCAATGTTATTGGTACTTCCTGATTCTTATAAGGTTCATGGTGAAGAGTTAGTCCTAATAATGTGTACAGAGGATACCGATCTTACGTCACTCCGAAAGGTTTAGAACGTGAGTCCATGAGTCGAGCATGCATTATATATATGTATCTATTTTACTCTACCGAGTCGCGCTATAGTCGGCCGGGTACGGCACCTATTGTGCAACCACTGATCAGTTGGGTTTTACCGAGCTCCACGTGGCCGGGTACGTTTTTACCGGCCTATTACGGCCGGGTACGATATGATGATGAAGATGCCCACAGAGGCGTATGTTTTAAAAGTTTATGTATATATACATATGTATCACGCATTTCATGTCAGTAGCCCTTAGAGGTACCCAGATGTTACATGTTGTTTATTCTCTATCCCTGCTTACATTACTATTCGTACTTATGGTTCCCTGCCTTACATACTCAGCACTTTATTCGTACTGACGTCCTTTTATTTGTGGACGCTGCATGTCGTGCTGCAGGTCCTGATAGACAGGCAGGCGCAGCTCCCCCACCATAGTAGGCTGTCCAGTTCTGCGGTGATTGGCGAGATCCCTTCTTCGGACTTGCCGTGGTCTTGGTATGCATTTTTTGTTATAGATATTATGGGTATGTCGGGGCCCTGTTCCGGCTATGTTGCAACACTTATGTTCCTTTAGAGGCTCATAGACAGGTGTCGACTCATGTATAGTTTGGTTGGCCTTGTCGGCTAGTTTTTGTTGTATAGTCTCTCATGGTAGTGTGGTAGCTCGTACCTTATATATAGTTTCTTGATTGTCTAGTCATCCCATGTTATGTATGTTCATGCCATCATATTTTATTGTTGGTTGTCCATGACCCATGTCTACCATTTATATTGATCTCGTCAGCCCTAAAAGATAACAAAGAAGGTTAGATAAAATGTATGTTGGTGCTCGGTAAGTATGGCCGGGTGCTAGTCATGGCCCTCCAGTTTGGGTCGTGACACTTGATTTAATCAACAATTCAACAAGCTCTTTCGATTACTTGAGTGAATCACTAAATTAAACCAAACAAAGTAATGCAAAGATAATCACCAAAATATTCCTATTTTGATTAAATACCCCGGTGAATAACGTTGCAACAATTTAAAACTCCATAAACGAATT